ATGGAAGGTTTCCAGCTCTGAGTGCAATGGAAGGAGAAAGAGAGGGGCTGGCCAATGGAAAGAAGAAACAGGAAAGATGGCCGAGTCCAGACAGACTTCCCAGGCCAGCACACTCATGTGATTTTTTTCAAGGTCAGCAGTCAGACCCCCCTAATCAGATTTTTCCATCCTTCTACAAAGCTTGGAAAGTGCCTCACCTCCAGTGGGGCTGCCTGGTAGGGTCCACCCAGAGCATATACATACACGGCCTGAACTTGGCCATGTCCAATTCAATGTGTGGTTAGAAGAACCAGGCAGGAATGCATCTATTTTGACGGTGCCTTGTTCTCTGAGTATTTCATGTGGGTGACTCTTGTCTCTTCTCTCCAATAAGACCGCAGGGGGAAGGGCCGAGCCTCCTCCTCCTTCCCCCAGTGGGTGCCCTCATGGGCTCAGGAGGAGCACGGACCCACACGGGCCCTTCTCAAGTGCCTGTGCCCTGGACTGTGTCTAGGTTTGCACTCTCCTACATCCCTAGCACTTAGCACAGTGGAGGGCCCAAATCTGGTGCTCTGGACACCCATGAAACACTCACTAAAAGTCTTGTTGAGCTGAGTCAAGTTGCCTGCTGTGCCAAGGGCATACTGAGCACTCTTTGAGCGTTGTGCTTCTGACCTTGGATGCTCACCGTCAAGGCAGCAGAGTTTCCCCGGGGGACCCTGTGACCTAGGCAGCCCCTAATGGCTCCCCCTTTCCACCCATCCTCAAAGCCAGTCCCTCAGGCTGCTGACTCTGCCTTGTCCCTGAGAAGGCATTGGCACTGTCTCTGTGGCCCGTGTGACACGGTCCGTGTTAGGACGGGGAGTCTCTGCTGCTGAGTCCTCTTCTCATGGTCCCATCAGTTGGAGTCACTTGGGACAAGAAGCTTTGTTCGGCAAACTTCCTGTGTGGGCAGGACCTTCTGTAAGAGAACTCTGGACCAAAGTCGGAGCCCCCCAACCCCCACCCCCTCGCTGCAGCTTCACATACACACATGGACAAGGCTTAGCGTGGGGACAGCAGAGTGTTGCATCCTGTGGGTGCCAGAGATTGAGAGGGAACAGCGGGCTTGGTGGGGGCAGGGGGAGTGTGACCAGAATGGCCATCGGGAGCTCCGGTTTTCCTCCTGGTACCTGGGGCCGGGACACTCGTTACTGGATAGTGGGACTGCTAGCAGGAACAGAAAACCGAGGCCCGGGCATCTTTAGTGGGGTCTGAGGAACCCTTCCAGGAGTCCAAGCCCGGGGCTGGGAGCCTTGTGCAGTATTGTTCCTACTATTGCCATGGGGCCGGTCAGTCCAGGGAGGGGTCAGATGCATTCTTGGCCTCAGGGACAGAAGGGCTCAAGCTGCCCAGAGATCTCTACGCACCTTGCGGGGAGCGGGGAGCATCCCCCACCGTGGGGCTGGGCCATCTTGACAAAGCTTCTCCCTCTGTCTCTGCACCTCTCACCATCTCCCTGCACCCCTTTAGAGGAAACCATTCACTGGGCCTTGGGGGCAGGGCTGGCCATGCTCCCAGCACACTCAGTGTTTGCTTCCAATCTAAGAAAGAGCCAGGCTCCCGGGCTGGGAACTCATTCTCCCTGCCCCCTCCTTTTCTTTTCTTTTCTTTTCTTTTCTTTTTTATTTTCTTTCCTTTTCTTTTCTTTTTCTGTCTCCTCCGCTTTACCCCCAACTACTCCCCCCAACCCCAAAAGCTTCCAAAGTGACACCATGTGGGCCCAAATCAAACCCTTGTCTTCAGGCCCTTGCTGGCATCTCTCCCAGATCACCCACCTCCCTCCTCCCGCTCTGCAACACAGCCACCCTCCTCACCCCCACCCCTGCCATTCCTCTTTGTGGACAACTTTCTAAATGCAGCCAAACTTCCCCTTTCAGTCCATGGGCCCCGCAAAACAGCTGCAAAAAGTCAGCAGCTCTGCAAAAGTTTTCTTGCAAATCGAGGCTGAGAGCAACACCCTTTGGCTCTAGCCATTGCTTCCCCCTCCCAGGTTCTGGAAGGCTAGCCTCCTCCCCCAGTAAACAGTGGGGAGACCCCCGGTACACGCTCTCAGGGACACAATCTCCCCGAAGGTCTAATCTAGAGAGAACTTCCTGAGGGGCCCTGCGGAGTGTAGTCAGCGGGAGGAGACAACCCAATCTTTGCCTACAGGCCTGACCTTGCAGAGCCCCGTGGGACCCCTGGCCGTCCACTTACACACTGCCCACACACGTCCACACACACAGGCTTCAGGTTTCTAGAATGAAAGGATGGACTGGCTGGTTTTCCGGGCCCCTTCTGAGTCTAAAATGCCATAGATCTATCATCTCTCCTTGGGGTACTCCTGCCCGAGAAAGAAGGGGCTTTGCCCAGGGACACAAGGCTAGCCGAGGGCTGTCTGACTGGAACCCAGCTTTCCTCAACTCCATCCCGTGGTGCTCTCTCTGTGACACGCAGCCCTCACTAAAACAGTGGCTTTCACTCTTGGCCACGCATCAGAATCCTATGGGAAGATTTCACGTCGTTATCAGTCACCAGGCCTCACTCCAGAACAAGGAGATCAGAATCTCCAGTCGGGGCCTGGTTATCCTTCTGTTTGGAAAGTTACCCAGGCGATTCTGACCCAGCAGTCAGTTTAGAACCATTGCAGACAAGTCTTCTAGAAACTGAAGCTGAAGCTCTAAGCCAGAAGCACCTTCCTGCTCCCTTCCAGGTCCCCCGAGGCCTCCACATGCACTCCAGGGCACACGGCCTCCAGGGCACACGGCCCCCAGGACCGAAGTCCAGGAACTGGAAACCAACCTCAGCCAGAGGCAGGGGGCCCCGGGGGGCTGCTCCAGCCCTCTGAGGGCTTTGTGTGGATTGAGAAAAGAAAAACAGAGAAGGGAAACTGTAGCAGAGCCGAATGCAGTGAAGGAGAAAAAGACAAGAGAAAGGGGAAGAGCCCTGAGGTCAGAGAGTCATGTGAATGGCATTTAGGGAACAAAGCCCCTCCACCGTGCCCTCTGTCCCCACTTCATCAATCATCAGAGGGGGCCTGGTAAAATGCGCTCTTCCTCCAGCACTCAAGGCACAGAGGGCATCACAGCCCATAGAACCCGGGACGGTACGTGCACAGCCAGAAATTTGCCCCTTCCGAGTCTGTGAGCCCTGCCAATCCTCTCCACGGGCAGAGCTAGCAAAGAGCCCTCGCTGTACCTCCTCCACTCACCAGAGCCGGGGGCTCTTGTCAGACATTTAGGCAACATCACTTGACCATTTCTAGACCCGAATAAAGGCCAATCCAACATCCAAGACACCTGGCATCCCATCAAAGGGGTCCAGGTGGCGCCATGTGACCGCCAGCAAGCCGCCTCCCTGCCCTCACTGGGCTTCTGTGCCTGATCTGCAGGCACATTCAGGAAGATGCAGAGGCATATTCGGAAAGAAGGGATATGGCTGGAGGCGGGCGGCGGGGGGAAGGGTTCAAGGGCCTGGGCTCCAGGGCCAGAGGCCTGGGCTAGTGTCCTGGGTGCTCTGCCACACACTACCATCCTGCACTCTGGGCCTGCGAGTCCTCAGTTGCACAGTGACAGCTGACAAAGAGGGAGAAGGCTGCAGAAGCCCAAACCAACATGGCACCGACACCTAGAATGTGCAAGCACTGCCCTCTGCTAGTCAGAAGCAGATGGCAGCCCCAAGAGAAAAGTGGGCCCGGAAGGTGAGCAGGCAGTGAACAGAGCGGCAAGAAGAAGCACAAACTGGATACCGAGTTGGGACGCCAGAGAGGTTTCTGTCCGGGACGGATGTCAGCGAGGAACGGCGGAAGGGACGGCCATTCCCAGCCCGGGGACAGTGCCCTGCCATCTCTACTAGGGGACATTTGGCAACGTCTGGAGACCCTTTTGACTGTCACGGGGTGGGGGCTGCTCCTGGCATCCAGCGGGCAGAAGCCAAGCATGCTGCCAGCTACCCTACAAGGCACAGGACAGGCCCCACAGCAAAGGAGTTTCTGCCCCTTCCCCTCACATCGATAGCATGGGAGCTGAGAAGCCTGTCCCAGATAGACACGCAAACAGGTTAGGTGAGGGCGCCTGGCCGGGACAGCATAGGAAATGTGCCACCAGCTGCTGCGGCACAGGACCCCCGACATAAATCAGATAAATGGTGGCCACGTTGGTTCCTAAATGTGTGGCTCAGAGAAGAGTGTTCAGTTAGTGGTGGCTTTCCCGCGGGGGTCCAAAGTCCTCGCCTCCTCCGTTTGCTCCAGCAGCACAGCCACAGTAGGGCCCGGGGAGGGACTGAGGGCCGTAGTCACTGGAGGGGGCAAGGAAGGGAAAGGGAAAAGGCGGTGGGAGGGCCTCGGGTAGGGAGGGAAGAGGAAGAGAAAGGAGACACTGTAAGTTTCGGTGTTTCACAACATCACAGAAATACCCAGGAAGCCAGAGGGGGCTTCAGGGAGAACTTCAAATTGAGCAAGGGCTGCAGTTCTCTTCTCAAATTCATGGAAAAATCCCTCTTCACACCCTCTGGTTCAGGAAGACCAGACCTCCCTCACCTCCACGGTGACCTAGAAACCACTTTCCCGCCTCCCCCTGCCGCCACCAAGCTTGTGCCATTTTCAGCCCTTTGTGTCCTCCTCCCTGGTGCTTCTCCCACCCACCCCAACCAGCTCTCCATTTGTTGCTTTCCAGGAACTCCAGTCCCACTCTGGTCCCACCAGAGCCCGAAGCAACTAACGAGATACATACAAAATAATCATAATAACTCCTAACAATCCCATCTGTTAGAAATCAGTGTCTGGATAGAAGTCATCTCCCTTGCGTCACAGGTCAAGAGATCCCTGAGGGTTCTTCTAGTTGAGCCCCAAATCCGAGCTTCCCGGCAGCCCAAGTAACATGAGAATGGGGGTCAGTTTCCCGAGTCCCCTTGCCCAGAGGTCAGAAGCCCACCAATTGCTCTGAGGATACGGAGCTTTACCAGGAACTGGAACCTAAAATATATTTCCCTCTAGGTCTTACAGAGAGCACTGACTGGGGCAGCAGGAACTAGCAACAACAGCATCCCAGAATAAATGCAGCCTGCCTCCTCCAGCCATTTTTCCACAAAGCCCCATCATAAGGGAGGGACATAATAAAGATTTTGTGGCAGCTGAATCATGTGGTCCAAGAGCAACTCAGCTTCATGAGAGCCCGACTCGATTCAGGGATAAGTCTCATCTGGAAGAATGGATGGAATGCATGGCCTTTAAGTAACCCCCATGAACTTTATTTCTCTCAACCGAGCTTTTGATAAAACTCGGGCAGCGGGAGGCAGCTGCTGGTTGTAACCGCTGACAAGGGGCTGGCAGGCAGACTCTGGCGCTGGGCGAGGATGGGGCTGTCGGGTCCTGGCACCTGCAGAAGCATCATTCACAGATTCAGCCACTGGAAGACTCCCCCAGAGGCCCAGAACACGCACAGCTTTCCCATTTTGCTCTGGCCCGACGTGGAACTGGACTGAGAGGCTGGTGGAAAGAGGGGCAGGATTCGGAGCCCGCAGGGATGCTCACCAGCCCTGAGCCCTGCCTCGCTGGGAGTTATGATTAAGGACAAGGATAGCTTTGCATAATCGTGGGTCCAGGCACAAAGTCATACCCCAGTTCATCGTCACAGCTGAGCTCCTGGAGAGATACTATGACTGTGCTCATTTTACAGACGAGAAAACTGAAGCCCAGAGAGCTTCTCGAGGAAGAATGGAAGCTCTGATGCCCACTTAGGTCTGTCCGGTTCCAGAGCTCACGGGTTTTGTAACCACTACACTGTGAGCCCCTGCCACACAGGATGAGGGACGAAACCTGTGGGAAAAGTGAAATGGCAGTTAATTTGTGGCTTGAGAGCACAGGAAACCCATGACTCTCAGAATGCGATTTTGGAGAAAGCCGGAAGCCTACAGCAACGTGCTGAATTTAAGGCTGTAGGGCTTCTCGAAGCCCTCTCAAGTCCAAGGGCTCCTGGGTTGTAAACATCAGTTGTACCCAAGTTCCTGTACAAGTCAGGGGCGGGGGAGGCAGCGGTGTTGCAGGGAAGGGCCCAGATTAAACAAAGCCTGCCACAACCAAGCTCAAGGCACCCGCCCCCACCCCCTGCAAAGCCACTGGGGATCCTACCCACAAGCCAGTGAGCAAGCAGTGTAGAGCCCAGCAGTGTGGGAGCCCAGGGCCAGGCTGCTTGGGGCCCAGGATCGCTGCTGGACACAGCCCTCTGTGTATCCTGTCACATCCTGGGAAGTCAGCAGGTGGGAACATCCAGGAAAAAATAGAACCCGTGAAGCTGTCTTCCCAGCAGGTAGCTCTGTGAGCTCAGGGCGGGAAAGCCCCATCTCCTTCCACTGGACACACTGACCTTCTTTAGAAGGTCTCCTTAGACTGGAGTCAGGAGTGTCTAGACCACAGGAAAGCTTTTCCCATCAGTGAGCAACATGCTGACAAGCAGGGCTTCAGCTCAGCCCCGTGAAATCTGATGACTCAGGAGGACGTGCTGTCTCTCCACAGGCTTGTTTGCCGGGCGCTGGCACCGGGCCCTCTCCGGGCCAGGTGTGAGGGTAGGGAGAGAAGCCAGGCCCAGGTCTTACCCTCAAAGGGTTTACAGTCTAGAAGAAGGCACAGATGTGGAAACACCTCAATGTGTCTTCATGAGAAAACTGAAAAAAGGAAGGAAGTGAGGTAAGGAGGGATAAACATACAAAATAGATCAAGAATCTAACCACTTCTTCCCCTGCCCCCGCTCACTGTCACCACCTTTGTCTCTCGATTAGCCCAGATTATTACAGCGGGGTCCTCAGCACTGCAGGCCTGCTCCTACCCACAGGGGTTTGGGACTTGCTGCTCCCATTGCCCTCAGACAGGTAGGTGTCCTTATGATTCAGCATCTTTGTGTCTCTGTCCAAATGTCCCTTATCAGGGAGGCTTCCCTCTCATCAAGGCCGCCCAGTCACAGTTCACAAGGCTCCTCTCTCTGCCAGCTCACAAATGTTGTGGAAGGTGCAGTCCAGGTGGTTTCTCTCACAAACTCCTCACAGCCTGCTCTCCTGAGGCCTTCAGGACAGGTTTCCCGTTGGCCTCGGCTAGAGACTGTTTTCATAGCCCTTGACCTTGCTAATGGTCAGCCAGTGCCCTGGGATCAATCCTGGCTCCTTCAACTTACTTACCTGGAGCTGGTCCTCTCCTGTATGGGGGGGGTGGGAAATTCCAGCAGAGCCTGGGTGCACCCTGCCCCCTTGACCGAGCTTAGTTAGCCCTGACCTACTGTAGCAGGCCTGGGTAACTGGTCACCAAACTCATGTCCTCCTCTTCCTGGGCACCGAGCTGGACTACACTTCTACCTCCTTCGTCATCAAGGGTGGCCAAAGGAGTGTGAGCAGAAGCCATGCGTCTCTCCTCTGGGCTGAGGACTTTAAGAAACACACGTGGCTCGTCTACCTCTCTTTCCCCTGCTGCCGTGATCACGTGGCCTAGGAGATGGTGGAGTCCTGGGGACAGAAGGAGCTGGAGTGCCCGGATCTCCCCTTGGAGGCAGGCTGCCTGCCAGTCAGAGTACCCACCTTGGATTTCATGTGAGTAAAAACTAAACCTTGTGACCAGCCTGCGTGTTGGAGTTTGGCTCCTCTATGAATTTAGTGTTTAACGGCCCATCTCTCTAGGGACTGTAGGCCTGCCCTCATGCCAGTGCTCCCTCATCCCCTTTCCCCCACCCCTCCTTTTCCCACCTGAACTTTGTCCTCTCTTCCTGCCCCATCCCAGGCCTCCAGGGATGACTGAGCCGCTGATGAGTGAACGCTTTCTGCTCCGGAGATCTGCGTGCTGCTGTGGAAGGCAGCCTGGCAATGTAGGAAGGCTCTTCCCATGACCTTTCTGGAAGCCTGGATCCAACAGCGTGTGACTTTGGGCGAGACTCCAGCCTTACCGAGATTCAATTTCCCCATCCTTAAAATGGGAACAGTAGCCTCTGGCCAGGCCACGTCACAGAGGGAAAGGCAGGAAGCCCCGACCTACAGGAGCAGCTACTCTGAGCGGGGCTCTACATTACCTCATGTTTAGTACTGAGGTAGGGAAACCGAGGCACACAGAGGTTTCAAAGTAACCTGCTTAAGTTCACCCAATTAGGTAAGTAGTTGCCCCCACTCCTGACTTGGTCCTCCCCATCTTCTCTCCCTTGTGAGTGGCACCACCAACCACCCAGGAGCTCAAATCCGAGAACTCAGGTTATGACTGACTCCTTGCTTGCCTGCATCTCCCAAAGCCCAGTTACTTTACCCCTTGCCTCCCCAGATAGCTGCCCAATCCAGCCTTTCCTTCCATGTCTGCAGCCACCAGTCTGGTCCCAGACCTCTGCACGCCTCTCCTGGGCCCCTGTGTTAACCCCCTCAGTGGTCTCACCCTCCACGAGCATCTTCTAGAAATGTAAATCTGACCATGCCAAATCCCATGTTAAGAGAGCTCAGTGGCTTCCTTCTGCTCCTGTGACAAAACCTTGCTGCGGTCCAGCCAGCAGGAGAGAGCCAGCCTCATCTTGAACACCATCTGCCCACCCATCTCCTCTCCATTCCAGTCAGGGCAGACTTCTCCTAGTTCCCTGAACACTCACCAACTCCCTCCTTGGTGGGAGCGGCCTTTGCATATGCTGTTCCTTCTGTGTGCGATACTTTTCCTTCCCCACTTCACCTAGTGTAGTCTTGGTCACCCTTCATGTCTCAGGTCCGGTGTCACTTCTTTGAAAACTTGTCTCTGACCTCCTTGACGAGGTGACATCACCTTATAGCCCTCAACACCGTTACTAATTTCTGTCTATTTGAGCTGTTATTTGGTGAACAGGCGTCCCCTTTCCATGACTTTAAGCTCTGTGAGGACAGGAACGGCAGCCATTTTGCTCACCATTGAAACCAGTGCCTGCACCGTGTCTGACCCATAGCAGAACTTCTGTATTGGCCGAGTGAGGCAATCCGTGAAAGTGGAACTTGAAATCCAAGTGCGCCTGGCTCCTCGCTCACCAACGTTGTGAGGAATTGTATTCGTCTGCTCAGGCCACCATGGCAAGAGACCGCAGACTGGGTGGCTTAACCAACAGGAATGTATTCTGTCATAGTTCTAGAGGCTGGAAGGCCCAAGTTAAGGTGCTGGCAGATGTGGCTTCCAGTGAGACCTGTCTCCTCAGCTTGCAAACACACATTCTTGCTGGGCCCTCATGTAGCCTTCTCTGTGTGCACCCAAGGAGAGAGGGAGAAATCTGTTGTCCTTTCTTATAAAGACACCAGGAGGGGCATCCGGGTGGTTCAGTTGTTAGGCATCTGCCTTCAGCTCAGGTCATGATCCCGGGATCCTGGGATCGAACCCCACATCCAGCTCCCTGCTCAGCGGAAAGCCTGCTTCTCCCTATCCCACTCCGTTTGCTTGTGTTCCCTCTCTCTTGCTGTGTCTCTCTCTGTCAAATAAATAAATAAATACTCTTAAAAAAAAAAAAAAAGACACCAGTACTGTTAGAGAAGGCCCACCCTTGTGACCCCATTTAATCTTAATTAACTCCTTCAAGGCCCCATCTCAAATACAGTGCCATGGTCAGTTAAGTCTTCAACATTTAGGGGGACACAATTCAGTTCATAACATTCTGCCATCTTGCCCCCCAAATTCACATCGTTCTCCCATGCAAAATACATTCACTCTGCGATACCTGGGTGGCTCAGTTGTTAGGCGTCTGCCTTTGGCTCAGGTCATGATCCCAGGGTCCGGGGATCGAGCCCAGCATTGGGCTCCCTGATTAGCGGGGAGTTTGCTTCTCCCTCTGCCTGCTGCTCCCCCTGCTTGTGCTCTCTCTCTCTGACATATAAAAAATAAATAAAATCTTTAAAAAGAAATACATTCACCCTATTCAACAGCCCCAAAGTTGACCCATCCATCATCAAGTCAGAAGTCTCCCTAAATGTCATCTAAATCAGGGTTGGGTGAGGCTGAGGTATGATTCATCCCAAAGCAGAATTCCTCTCCAGCTTCGAACCTGTGAGACCAGATATGTTCCGTGCTTCCGGATCACAATGGCGGGACAGGCAAAAGACAGACTCAAAAGGGAGAATTGAGAAGAAGGAAGGGTACCAAGCAAGTCCGAAACCACAAGGCAAATTCTATTTGATCTTAAGGCTCCAGGTCAAACTTGTTTAGTTCATTGCTCTGCCCTCTGTGCCCCCTGGGGCAGCAGCATTACCTCTGTGGCCCTCAGCAGTGACCCTGCCCCCTCCGCTCTGGGCGGGCCTCCTGGCCCCCTTCTGAGGAGGGGCCCCTCACCCTGAAGCCAGAAGATAGTGGCATCCCCTGGACTTATGGTAGGAGTGACAGCTCTTATGATCTCTGAATAGCTTTCATGGTCTCTTTTCCCTCTTCTGGAAGGACAACCATGTTTGAGGCTGGATCCTCTAGTGCCCTGACCTGCAGATCCAAAAATCGGAGCAGCTTCCTTCATTCCATTTCCTCTGGCCCCTTCTGTCCCCACTGGCTGTGCCTTGCTGCCATAGTCCCAATCCTATTCCTGGCTTCAGCAGAGGCGGCTGATTAATTCATGGGTCATCTTTACAGAATGATCATCCAGCCAAATCTTTGGTGTTTCTCCAGAACACGCTTTCTCATGTTTTGCAATATGGATAGGCTGAGGATTTTCCAAATCTTCAAGTTCTGGTTTCCTTTTGCTGAAAAAATTCTTTCAATTTCCCCCCCCCCCCCACCCCCATCTCTCACATTTTATTATCAGTGGTAAGGAGGGACCAGGCCGCCCTTCTAACACTTTGCTTAGAAAAAAAATACTCTGCTAACTATCCAAGGGTGACACTCACAAGATCTGCCTTCTGCAAAACCCGGGAATACAAGTCAGCCAAATCCTTTGCTACTTTATAACAAGGATTGCCTTTCCTTCTGCTTCCAAGAGCATCTTGGGCATTTCCACCTGAGATCTTACCAGAAGCATCTCTACTAGTCATACTCCATCAACGTGCTAGTTACCACAATGCTGTATTCTCTGCAGTTTTTCCCCTTCCTAAGCCCTCGTCAGAATGGACTTTGATGTCCATATTCCTGCCAAATGTCCTCTTGAGGTGATTAGGATTTTTCTAGCATGGGCCTCAAAACTCTTTCAGCCTCTCCTTATCACCCTTGTTATACTTGTTATAGCAACACCTGTTCTTGCTATTGTACTTTCCACGATTCTCAAAAACAACAACAAAACAAAATAAAACAAAAACCAAAACCAATAGGATCTCTCTAACTGTATCTACCCCTAAAGAAATATATTATAAGGAATCAACTTACAGAGAGACTAGCAAGTCTAGAACCTGCAGAGTTGCTATCCTCGTTCAAGTCTGAAGGCCCAGCAAGCTGGCGTAGAAGCACGAAAAGCCAAAGCCCCACTTCCAAAACTGTCAGGCAAGAGAATTCTCTCCTCCTCTGGGGAAGGTCAGCCTTCGGTTCTATGTAAGCCTTCCACTGACTGGTCCTTCCCACTCTGGAGGACAATCTACTTTACTGGTCTACCGATTTCATTCAAAAATACTTTCATAGAAACACCCAGAATAATGTTTGACCTACCATCTGGGGACCCCATGGCCCCCAGTCAAATGGACACATATAAATAGTCATTCCAAGAATCACAGCAGGTGGTACGTGTGATCAAGGTTCCATGAGTGTACAGGACCAGTGCAAGGGACTAGCACTAGAGCCAACACTGTGGTTTGCCATTCCCTCATTCCATACCCATTTATTACACACCTACTGTAAGCATCTCAGTTATCTATTGCCATGTAACAAACTACCCCAAAACTTGGTGGCTGAAAACTGAAACAGTTTATTTATTTCTCATGATTTTGTGGGTCAGGAATTTGGGCCGGGCTCTGTGGGATGGTTCTTCTCAGCTGGCCTCGACTGGAAAGTTCAAGAAGACCCTCTAAAGAGTCTGGTGCCTCAGCTACTCCACGAGGTTGCTCTCTCTCCAAGTGCTGTACCATCATTCATCTGTCTACCCATGCTTCTTTACAACTGGATGGCTAGCTTCCCCAAGAATGTTCCAAGAGTGGGGCGCCTGAGTGGCTCAGTTGGTTAAGCGACTGCCTTTGGCTCAAGAGAACAAGCCCCAAGAGGAGAAGCAAGCATTGGTCAGATCTATGCTTGCATCACACTTCTAATGTCACATGGGCCAAAGCAAGTCACATGCCCGAGCAAGTCACATGTGGGGTCCCCCGATGTCACAGTCTACCAACAGAGAAGAGAACACCAGTCCTGACTCTTGTCCTCAAAGATCTCACCATCCAGCACTTCTTATTGTTTTTTTTTTTTTTAAAGATTTTATTTATTTATTTGGCAGACAGAGATCACAAGTAGGCAGAGAGGCAGGCAGAGAGAGAGAGAGGAGGAAGCAGGCTCCCTGCTGAGGTGAGAGCCAGATGTGGGGCTTGATCCCAGGACCCTGGGATCATGACCTGAGCCGAAGGCAGAGGCTTTAACCCACTGAGCCACCCAGGCGCCCCCAGCACTTCTTATTGTGACAAGCAAGCCCCGGAGGGAATTCCTGGCATCTCTGAGTAGAGAGAGCCCCATTTTGTACTGGTCAATGCTTCCAACATCATATGATGCTAAGAGCATTCATAGTTTTATCACTTTTCATGCGCATATTTTTTCCAAATGCATTTTACAGGAAAATATTGCTAACTGTGTATGTTTGTGGGAGGATGTTTTATTACATTCCTTGACATACTAATGTTGCCAGAAGACAGTTTTGGAAATGCTGGCCTGGTGACTC